TCCGCTTCTTAGTTCAAAAAGGAACAGGTTTTGGAAATTCAAAATTTTCAATTTTTGACCTTGACCTTTGATGACCTTGACCTTTATTGGGTCAAAGGTCATTGACGTTGTCTATTAGTTTATGCTCTCATATTTGACCACTGACGTCTACTTTCGCTTTTATAGCTGTCCAAAAACATCCAAATTCGCAACTTTGGACTGCTCTAGCACGTGACCTAATTAACCTAGAGAGTAAATTTTTTCGGTTTCCTAATGTGCTTCTCGTGTACTTTACATAGATATATAACAATCGTTTTTTTAAAGCAATTCGTGATTTTTTCAAATTTGAGTTTTTTTTTTACAATATTTGCGACTGTTTGAGCTTAGTGTATGTATATGTTATGATCTATTTGATGTAGAACCTTGATATTTGGAATATAATTAGACACTTTGAATATGAATTCACCTATGACAAAAAAACTTATGTGGGCGTGGCACATCCGGGTTGAATTACTAATTGTTTACATTTTGGGGCTGGGGCATAACTCACATAGGATGCGTTTGTTCAAAAAGAGACTTTGCACACAATTACCTCATCCTTTTGGCCAGTATGTATTAACAGCTCAGTTGTTTCAGCTTTATAGTTTCAAAAAAGGAACAGGTTTTAACATTTGGATATTTTCATTTTTCGATTTTGACCTTTGTTGACTTTTGTTGACCTATATCTTTTGACCTTTTGAAGTATCCATTTGTTCAAAATGGAACTTTGCATACAATTACCTCATATTGTGAGCCACTTTGTCTTAGAATTTCGGTTGTTTCCGCTTCATAGTTCAAAAAAAGGAACAGGTTTTGGAAATTGAAAATTTTCAATTTTTGACCTTGACCTTTGTTGACCTTGACCTTTCTAACATCAAACGTCATTGGCATTGGCTATCTATTTATACTTTTATATTTGCCGTCCTATGTCAACTTCCGGTTTTATAGTCGTGTGCAATTAGAAATTTTGATGACGTATATCTCTTGATCTTGACCTTTTTAGACTTTCTCTTTTACAAGATCAAAGGTCATTGACTTTGGCTATCTGCTGATACTTTCATTTGTGAGGTCTGACGTCTACTTCCGGTATTAGAATCTTCTAAAAAATGAAAATTTCTCAACTTTAGACTGTTCTTGCGCTTGATCTAATTATCGTGGAAGGATGATTTTTTCGGGGTCTTTTGCAATTTGCTACATTTGCAAAGTCCCACTCTGTGCCACGAGTGGCTCTAGTTATATCTTTGATTTCATTTCTTTAGTGTTCCAGATATAGATATTCACACGCTTTGGATAGAGTCTTGACGATTTATGATATGCTGTGGAATACCTCACAGTGTTTGCACAGGAAATGCATTAATTAAAACCGAAACCTGAAACCGTTGTTTTTTACATTCTAGACGCAGTGGTGGATTATAATTTTCATGATATTTGTTCGCCAAAGTTGAGCCGAAATGATTCTGCTGTAAGTTGTAATAGCATAGGAAAGAGACTTGCTATTACTGATACAGTTGATAAAGTTGAAGCTCTTCGAAATTTTCTTCTGAGAGATAATCCAAGTAAGCACAAGTTTAGCTCTGTTATTCATTCTTGTTCAACTGAAATCGTACGGGCCAAATTCGGTTATGTATAATAGGATCGGGGATGGTTATATTAAACGTTTTGAACGTCAACTTTTTTCAAGGGCTTGACGGATATGTTTCAGATGGAGAGGACGTGGGATAATCTCCCTTCCTTCTTAGCAGACATATTATTTAATCTCCGTTCCATTTGTTATCTAAGGTTATCAGATATGTGTGAGTCTCTAGTCATTTAAGCAGCATTGTCCTACCCACGTCATGATTTCATTTGACTAAATAGTGATTGTGTTAAGGTGTGTATCACCAGTTGTGTGTGTTTGCGAAGAATAGCGATCATAAGTTTCGAACGCACCTGTCATCCAATTGATTTTTGAGAAACTAATGACTATTTTCATTATGCGCTATTGTGTGAGAGTACCTCTACATAGAGTAGTTAAGTTGAATAATATCAGTGACGAGAATATTGGTCTGCTGTAGCAAGGGCCCTATTGCCTGACTAACATTTCAAAGATCAAGATGCCACCTTTGATATCATTAAGATGTGATATAAAAAAAAAATTTACAAATTGTAAATATTCTTGAAATATAAGTATTAGATAGTGAAATGCGAAATATAACTAGAATCAAGAAAGAGAAAAAGAAATCATTTCTTTTTAAACAAAGATAACAATTTGAATTGTTTTTGACATGATAAAGTATTTTCTTTGTTTTTTTTTCATCTTCTAGACAATATAAAGGATCATTATTTAGATGCTACAAGAATTTCAGAAGGATCTGAATTTCATTGGTCAAATGGAGTCGTACTTTCTTTACTGCCGTCGCCATTCTGGAGACAAAACGAACCAAGTAATCCTTTAGAAATGTGTATTACTATGTCACCAGGCTATCGTAATGGTAGACTTAATGACGATTCATGTGATACAGAATATTGTTATGTTTGTGAACCTCTGTGATATGATATTTTGCTTTGATTAAACTTTGTGTACTTGATACATGCATGATAAAATGGCGTTCAACTGAATCAGGATTTGACGCATATATAATGAAAAGGAGGCGGAAAAAAAATCAATCTGAAAAAAGAATTCATTTTCATTTCGGTTAGAATATTTTTTTATTCCATGAGCCAAATTCCGATAAAATCACGTTAGGATTTGACACATTAATTATTAAATGGTTAGAATATTTTAATTCGGACCAACGAAAAATGTCGGTTTGGCAAAAACCTTCGCAATATATCAACAATGGTATGGGGATACTTCTTTCTTTGATAGCCTAACGTCATATCCATTTGCATATTTTTTCAAAATGGCTACTATTTGAAACTCTTTTTACACTAATTATTTCGCCTGTTTAAAACGCTTGTACATATTTATATCATGTTTTATTAGATCAGGTGAACCTAGTATTTTGGACCGAGATTATAACTATCCATGGGGTCACATGATTTCAAAACCGGCCAATCAACACGATTCTAACACGAAATTCATTTTACGGTTTGTTTTGTATATTAGAACACACACACGAAACTCGAGTATATAATAGAAAAAACGGTAACCCCTATCATCTGAAAAATGTCACAATGGTACTTATCATTTGGATAAAGTTGATCATGGTCAAACTATAAATTGTGGCCGTGGTTTAAATGTCTTAATGTTTTATTGTTCCAACTCAAGTTTTTCATAACCTTGATGATCCAGGTCACGGGGCACACTGTCACGAATTTGACACCAGATGCTCACACGATGAAGGAAATGGTAAAGTCTTTGGCATGCCGAAAAAATTTCTAAGGATGTCGCGAAGATTCATTCTCGTGTTGAATTCGTTTGTCCATTTTTACCCTTCCTAAGGCCATCGTGAGGGCATCGTGTCAAATCGTGCCGTCTTCGGCTGTACTTCGTATTATCATCGGTGCCATTGGGCATTTTTCGACTCACGAAGAAAACATGAAGCTGTTCGAATGTCTTAGGAAGGTCTCACGACTAAGCGAAGCCCTCGCAATGCCGTCGCGGATCTATCGTGAATCTATCGTATCATAGTGCGATGAAATCACGATGGGACCACGGTGTCGGGTGAGACTGTCGAATTTGAAATGATTTTGAAATGTACAGTGTCTACTGCTCCCGATGATCCCGGATCAGTAATGGATTTTCCCGAATTTGTTGGTTGTTGCTGACTATTCTGCTTCCTCGGTCGATCGGCAGGTCATGAGAAGGAAGCCTTCGTGACAAAATTCGAACGCATCGTACTCTTGCCTTCATCAATAGCCCAATCAGACGTAAAACTCCTCTTATTTCATTTCAATTCTCATTATCGTGTGACGGTCTGTCTGCATCGCACTTACTTCAGCCTTAGATTGGCTGCTATCGTAGTTCGGCGCTATCCGCGCCCGAATTTCAGCTTTCCTTATTCGTATGGACACCTGGTGTCAATATCGGCACAGTGTGAAGCCTGCATGACAAATGGTTGTGTACATTATTTATCCTTTTTCAATTAAGTCTATGGTTAGTGCAGAAAACAAAAGCAGGATAGGATTATGAAACCGTCAAATAGAAACAACGTTGTTGGCAAAAAAGAGAACCACGGGCTGGTCATGAGTATAAATCGATCAAAATAATAATAGTAAACTGTTTATTAGAAATGGATTGGACAAAAATTTAAATTTATTTTGACATAATTCACAAATGAAATAAATTATAATATTGACGATAATATCTACAAATATATATAAACAAAATATATAAATATCACAAAACAAACGACACAAATAATCCGAGACAAACAGGTTTCTTGAATGGAGAGAGATCGAAATCTAATGATGTGAAATGAGTGATAAAAATCAATTTATAGAACGGATTCTTATGCGACAGAAAAATCACATTAAATTGGGGAACACAATGATATAGTATGGAACTGGGTTTTATTATACACAACGGTTCAACAATTTACCTTGTCATTTTCAACTGATGATGCCAATATAAATTGTTGAATGTTGTATTAAACAAAAACCAGGAATAGTACATAGTATAAAACATTGTTTTCCATTGTTAGTCATTTCACTTATAAACTGTTATAACACTCTTAAAACAAGTTTCATGACGTCACGAATCCCTTCAACAAAGCAAATTTGAAAGATTTCGATGATCCACATTTTGCTACATTAGGCAAGAAAGTTCGAACACATGGGATTTAAATATATGATTAATTTTTGATGAAAATTGCCATAAATACAAACAACAACGAAAACAGACTGGGGTTGATCCTTGGAGATAAACTTTCAATCATATCCAGTGCACATGTTGCTGAAAGAAAAAACAATTTTTAGTATGAGAAATATCATTGAATGCGAAAATAAAAATACTTCATTTCATCTTACATAATACATGTAGACTGACTCATTCAAAATAAATACCTTCTATTCCCTATTCCCTCAGAAGCCACCCCCGTGTTTCAATTGTGATTGAATCAACCATTTTCCATTGATGATTGAAACGTAGGCTTGTCGCAACAAGACATCTAAAGCTCTTTATCTAGATACCTAAGGCTCATTGTTAATGGCAATATTCGGACTTCTTATCTGGTGACACATCAAATGGGCGTGACAATGGTGGTCTGCCTTTATTGCGTTAATAACAAATGTTTCATAAAAAAAAAATATACTTACATGGTGCTATACAAACTTTACAAGATTTAGGACATGTTTCTCTAACTAAATCAGAAAATGAGCTATTACAGTAACCAGACGAGGCTATAAACGGACAGGCATTATCAAAATCCATACACATCTTATTAGGATCTAAAAACATACAGAATTAGACAAATAAACCAAAGTAAAAAAAACAAGCACATGTACATTGATTTAGGAAATTTTCAAGTTATTTATTAAAAGACTTGACGGTAATCTACAAAAACCTGCTTTTTTACTGCTTATGTCTATGAAATTGGTTAAATTTTAGTATTCACTTAAATATTCATATACATTTTTTTCTTCCTTTAGATAAAAGAGAAGTTAAGAATTTGTTAACACTATTTCAATTACTAGTTCGGATCGACAAACAAAGGAGTTCAATTGGATGTCCAAAAGTACAAATCTTACATATGAACTTTTAAGCAGAATCTTCTATGGGAACGTTAATGATAAAGGATACGACTACTTTCAGAAGTACAAGGTCAAAGGATCGAAATTACTTATATAAGGACGAATAGGTTAAATCTTGTTCCCACCACTTTATAATTACTATCTATAGATCTAACATCCCGTTTATAAGTGTTATTTTGTGGTAATTTAAGAGATATCGCTGTTCCGCTTATAACAATTATTAATATCATTGGTTCACTTTTCAAACAAGAACAATACCGGTAATATCTTAACTTAGTTAATTTTAAAGTTGGTCACTATTGTTATATTCCCAATCAACTAGATGTTTTAAAACCACACAGGAAAATCATAGGTTGTGGTTATTTTGATTTGAGACTTCACGATTTGTAGAAAATAAAAGTATATTGATGTCGTTGCAATCTAAAGTACAATGTAGTTGACTGTGCAGTATCGTTGCTACGACAGTACATTCGACACAAAAAGTTACAATTGAGCTGTGGTTTGAAAAATTAGTATCTATGACTTAAGTTAAGAATAATTAATTTCATTTTGTGAATTCATAAGTTATGTACACGTATTCATACCTGGATATAAATTTGTTTTGGAGTCTTTTACAAACAGACCTAAAACACTTACCTTCATCACAGAAATTGCACGTTTTCTTGCAATATACCATCAATCTTTCTGGATCGCGTCTACATTGTTCATTATCTCTTAAAGATTCACACCTTGATTGTAGTAAAATATCTCTGCATTCTAAATAATAATAATATCTATTTATTTAATTTCATTTATTAGATTGTAGACGAAATCAAAATTAGGGGTGTATACTACGAAAGCAAAGAGAAAGTCAACTGGTCCAATAAAGAAGAATTTTCCAAATGGACTATACTTGATTTCATATTTATTTCAATAAATTGCCATGCTCTCAAAAGCACCTATTTAATGCCATTAGATTGAAAAACAGATTTCGTTGTATGCTTTTTTTGATGGGTCACTACATTCGGCATCCATGTTCTGACAAAGTGTTTCTTAAAATGCTGTTCGGTACGACATGAATTGTCATATTGCTAACCAATGAAAATTAAAAGTTTAAAAAATCTGTTGATGATATAGGCAAATTTTCATCAACGATTATTGACATATAAACCCAGTACATGTACGAATGATGCGAACCGCAATACAAAACCCGAAATCCAAAACAAAATATTGATGAAACATTGGTAGCAGCTACCAGAAACTTTTCACATGAGGAAATATATCAATCATTAGTGATTAAGTAAGACAATCACCAGACTATATTAACGACAGAGAAAATCTAATGGTCAATTCTTGGCCTTGTCCTGATTCAGGGAAACGGACGCCACGTTTTGTTACGTTAGACTTACCTGGTGGTGGTTTAACAGTGGACTGCGTTGTAGTTGTAGTTGATGGTGTTGTTGTTCGTATTGTACGACGAGTTGTTGCTGTCATATCACACAATTTAACAGGATTTTGGATGTTTGTTGTTTCCATTGGACAATAACATCGACAATCTTTTCCTTGGAAACCCTCTCCAGGGCAGGTTTGTCTCGTACATTCAGCTAAAAGGGTATACAGAGCATTTAATGATTTGTACGTTTTGGACAGGTAAATATTGTAATATATCTTACCTACAAATGCATTTCTCGTCAGCTTGCTTAAAACCCCTAAACAGGTCTCCTACTATTACATTATATGTTGACATTGAAAAATAACCATTAGTTCCCAGATGAAAAACAAGTTTTGAAATGATTTCAGGTAAGCTAGAGTGTTTTGGCTAGTTATAAACATGCTAGGAGCTTAGATATGTTCTTTTTAAAGGTGTTGAAAGTCGGAGGCATTTGGAAGATGCACTAATCCGAAGACCAAAGTACTAAAGGCTGTACAGACTAAAGATTTGAAAAATTGAAATAAACGCTTCTATTTGTACACTGCGTGAATATCCTCGACTTTGTTAGCCTAAATCTAGGCAAACAGTATGCAAAATACAGTTTCTTTGACTTCCTATCACACGGACCATTGGTTTCAGAGAAAATCCTTCTCGACGTTGATATGTATGGTTAACAGTGAAATGTTTTGATGTCTATAACTCACCAGCGCAGCTGTACATTAGATTGGCCAATTTCACATCTCTAAAACTCAATGCTTGACGTTGACCAATCAAGTTCTGGAAAGCTGGATCTTTAGTAACAATTGTTCTGGGTCCGAATGACTGAAAAAGTAAGAATGAAAGGTTTCAAAATTGTTGTTGTTAAATACTTTTGTTCAGTCATACTCGCATTTCTCATGCGAATGAGAGCTACATTGCAAATGACCATTTTCCTCGATAGGCTGAAAATTGTTGTTAAAATCTGTGAGTCCAATGATACCCAAAATATAGATTTCTCTTCAGTTGAAATCTAGAATATAAGAATCCAATCCTTAAGAATCCAATAAGAATGGATACTTACATTAGCCGAGTAGTGCATAATACTGGTATAATCATATTCAACGTTGAAATCATTAATAACATTTGGTGATCTTTTACTGTATTGGGACTGCCACTTAGGTGGGATTTGATTAAAGTTAACAGTGATGAAATCATCTCGATCTGGGCGAGCTTGTTCATGAATCCAACCAATAGCATGACCGATTTCATGGACAACAATACCTCTCTGAAATCAATTAAATAAAACTATTAGTTGGGTTCTAGTCGGATGCACTTTTGTATTTTCTGTCTATAAAGCAAAAAAAAAAAAACAAAAAAAAAAAAAAAACAAAAGAAGGATAATGTTACTTGATGTCGATGTAATTTCAATCTATGTGTGTTTTAATTGGTGATTTTAAAGTTTAAACGCCCGTCTGATAATTGCTAAAAGTCGATCTCGACCGAGAATTTTTGTATAAAAAGCATTCGCAATCCGTTCCAACAACTAGTTTGCGATATCAGCATCCGCTGGAAGCGAACGTTAACTTGTCATCTACCTACCCTACCGTTCCAACAACAATTACTTGAGATCCACCCTACCGTGCTGGCTGATCAAACTGTGGGCGACCAAAGACATCCTCTTGCACTTGCCTCCGAATCAAATATAGCCATACCTTACAGAAGGACGGTTTTGACAAATAAATTTGCTCATATTAGCAAAGAAAACAGATTTACCGTTCTACAACCACGTCCTAAACTGATTGGTTGAACAGTACCAGTTCGCCCTAATCTGGAATAACACCTAAAATGGAACAAATAAAAGGATTGTGCACTTGTGCAAAGATAACCCACGCCACTTAGAGCTCGCAAGTGGTCACTCTCCATTAGCATACATTTCAGTTAGTTTACAATTAGGCCTCATTACTATTCTTGATCAAAGGTAAAGCTGATAATAAGTGAAGATATTCATTTTTAACAATGTAAGATCGTAACTAAGGTATCCATACCCGTCTCCATTTCTGAAGAGTATTCGGCTAGGATTCTGGTTCAGTTGGTTTCGTGGAACTTCATTAAATGTTAAACATGTCATGTCTTCCCAATCTTTTATTCCAGCTCTGATGGTAGATATATCTCTCGAGCCTAAAAAAATACCACCCAACATAATGATACATTTACAAGAAGGCCATTGGTCTCCAGTAAATTGTGTAATGACCAGCATTAATGATATTTTTTACCTACGATCCGGTTGGAATTCGGTTCATGATGATTTGATACCTATTCTTTTGCGGTTGGGTGACTCTGTGTACATGTCCTAAACTGAGGTAATTGTATTGACCGACTTGTTCAAAAACATAGTACTAAGATGAACACCGCAAAAAGTATTTTAATCAGTTAGAAAGCTCAATGACTCTTTGAAATAACAGCCAATCGTAAATATACTGTTTGTATTATTTTAATGCGATATTGGGCACGAATACTTAAAAACATGTTAAGATATTTCCGTGTTCTCTCAATTAGCGTAAACAATGATGATAAATATGTTTTATGATTAATGTTCATATGTAAAGGAAATGTCAAGCCCAAATCTATATTCTAGAGGGCAGTCGGGCAATTTAAACCTTTGTCTCATAACCTAACATGACATTGGTCCTTATAGGTTTCAACCTAAATTTCCCTGAGAATCACAAGTCGAAAGGGCTAATTTGATTTAAGTATCTTGGCGTTCGAAATCTGTTTAATTTTGGAATTTGTCAATTTTCAAAGATTTGACGAACTAAGACACATGCAAGTAATTGTCAATGGTAACAACATTCTGAGCAATGTTTCAAACATACAGATAACTGGTTCTGCTCGTATTCTTACAATAATGATGACACTATAGTTACATAATTGTCCTTCTTAATATTGTATATACTTACTGAAATCTGTTTCCTGAATTTGATAAGGAACTTGGTTATTGGGCCATCTCAGTCTTAAATTATTATAAGCTTTTCTTTTGTGTCTGTTAGCTGGCGATCTGAAAAAAATCAAAGTTGAAATTTGATGCTGAAGAGGAAGATACATACTGGTCAATATAGAAATGTAGGCATATGAAAGAATCCTTGAACAGAAGCGTGAAACCTGCAAATATTGGACCAAGCAACAATCCACAGCTTAAGAAATTGTGTGTCCGTTTGTTTTTGAATTTAGCTTACTACCAGCTTTTTCAGACTTCCATTCCCAGATGAATTCAAAATACAAAATTGTGCTTATTTAAGATCCAGAGTTATAACTTTTATCGATATAAGTTACTTCTTAATACGTATAGGTAACTATTTTAGTTATAATGTCCATGAAACCATTGAGTAGTCTTCTTGATGCTGTCCTATTGGTTTCATCAGAATTCAAAACTATGATGAAATGATATATCAAAAATGTGTATAGGTCACATGTTACATACATTTGTTTCACATAAGTTTGTCATGACCAGGAAATATTATCATTACCTGTATTGAGCCAATTCTGTCCTGTTTAATAAAATATCAAGTTCCACCATAGCCATCATTTTGCCATCACCCAAATCATGAAACAAATCTAACATCTCAACTGTAAAATATAGGAGTCAATAGGTTAAGTTATAGATAGGTATGATAATGCAGCTGGCCATTGCAACTCACACTATTTGGTAAGGAGTATTCAGCCTACAGGAAACTTCAAAGAGTATCTAGATCAATTTTAAACCGTTAAGGGAATGTATTAAAGATATAATAAAGTAAGGTGAGGGCATAGTTTTATAAAAGCACTGGCCTTGCAATGGTGTTGGACGGTATTACGACTCGATTTAGTGGAATCCTTTCTCTACAAATCGGCGTTTACTACTAGTTTTCAAACACCAGCCAAAAACAAAAGACATTAAAAAGTTTACGTAAACCTAATAGTTTTGGCGTTCTAAACATTACTTAATCTTTAGGATAAGATATGGGACAAATTTCTGTAGATTGTGGTCGATAGTTTTCATTGATATGACGACCTAGGTTTCCCGATCCACTTAAAAATCAGACTGCCCCTTCCACTGCTCAATTTCCTCTTAGAAATGTTTAACATGTTAAAGTAATACAATTTGCAGTTGCAAGTCCTTACCATTATTATTCTGGGTCATAGCATCCATCAATATCTCATCTAATGATCTTGTGTCTTCTTTTGAACTGGTCGGAGCGCCATTAGTCTAAAACAAGAGTATTTTTTTAACATATACATGGACCAGTTAAACCTAATTGACTGCTTAAGGATGCCATATTGACAGATAAAGTCGCAGTGGAATCAAAAGAAGAATAAGAGCGCTGGTTCACTTTTACTAGTGACATCAAACACTTCCTTATTAAAGTTAGTTGTCTTTTTTAAATAATAGATAATGGCCTTAATTTTGACCGAATTATGTCTACTGTAAATTTTGCATTTATATCAAAGCAAGGTGAATGTAAAACTATCAATACTTTTATGAAGCTGAAATTCGATTTGAATAATCGGTAAAATCGACAACGAAAAAACGAAAACAGTAGCAATTCTTTGTAATAAGATTTGAAACATTCTTACCAAAAATATAAACGTTGCAAGAACCATCACTCCAAAAATGTTCTTCATTGTGAGAAATTAGACAGATATTCACAATCACTTCTGATACGACTTGTAAATCTTCAATCTCTTTAACTAAAGTTAACCAAACGGGAAGTAAAATTCAGATTTATGAAAAAGTTTGTGCTCTTAGGATATACTACATTCATAATATATACCAAATGTATTTCCTCCTGAAACGGATCTTCCTCTTAATCATTTCTTGTTAATCCTATTACTTGAAAGCAAATATTGAAATATTGATGATACATCGTGGACATCTGATAAACCAAAGGCATCAGATTTCAACTTCAACATGCAATAGATATATTCTCTGAATCGAATTTCACTTCGATTTAATCATTTCTATTCGACCTATTGACAAATATGTCATGGTTTGGGGGAACTGGGGAGGCTATGAAATGAAGAAAAATACTCAGTTACGAAAATAGATGAAAAGCTGAACTTGCTCCAGGTGGTTGTTTGGATGAATATCAGACTGGCAAACTCTAAGCACCAAATCTCACTATTGAACCACAGCACCCACTAGCATTTTGTCATATTCAATGGCTATTTTTACCTCTCATATGTGTATTAGATTTAGATGGAAATGTGTAGAACTTTTATTAGTATATTTTCAACATTCACAAAATGGGGATTAAATTCCAATATTTTTTTTAACTGAGCAAATGAAACAGTGTTGTGTTGTGAAAAAAAAATAATGCTGGATACGGGAACTAGGTCTGTTGTTTCGTCGGAAAAGCTAGACGATTATTTGTCATGTCATTGTCATTTACCAAGGGACAATTTTAGTAGTGACATTAGTAATAATCTAAGGTTGCACTAATGACAAAGCGTCTCATTTGGGTTTCATGATCAAATAAATTAGTCACTCCTTGTAACTAATAATAGTTTTCGTTCAGAAGGAAATATCCATACATTTCATCGCTAGACTACGGAGGAAGGGAAGTAATATTACTAACAAGATAGGAAGATACGCCCAATCTGTGTCAAATCGTAATAAAAATCTAATTTGTTAATTTAAACAAACACACAAATTTGTAAACACCTCTCTCGGGTTCACAAGCCAACAAATTTTAATGCGTTTTTCCTCTGTCAAGGGCAATAACTCAATTCAGTTCATCGAAAAGTCGTCAAATTTAAACTTGACCAAAATTTATTGTAATAGATGATTACACCCTCACAATTTCATTAAAAGCATATGGAAACTGTAGTCTCTATACTGCATACAAACAAGTCACGGGCAATAACTCAAGAACAGTTTATTGAAAAATGACCAAGATATCATCACTATAAATTATCACACCAAATTTCATATAAATCGGATGAAAACTGTAGTCTCTATTTCACAAACAAATTTCGACGCGCTTTTCCAAAGTCAAGGACAATAACTCAAGAACCGTTTATTGAAAAAATCGTCAATTTTATATATTTATAAATCATTATAAATGATCACACCAAATATCATTAAAATCAAATAAAAACTATTATAATGTGGTCGTATAAAAAAAAGTATTGTTTTCATATTGCGAAGTTTTCATGTGTACAATTCAGTTATACAGGCATACTTAATACACTCCTCACAAACTAACACTTAATAAGCCAAAATATCTGTTATTACTGTTGCTTTATATTATTCAGACATGCAGAAATGTGAGAGGGGCACCAGCCTCTTCCAAATCATTATAAGATCAATGTTGCCCCTATTTTTAAATCCTTGTCATAAAACCACTCAAAGCTATTCAAACTTCAAGGACATTGAAATTGGTCTAGTGTAACTTGTTATAGGGGATTTGAAGATCTAGCATCTATTAGCTATTCGGTTTATTCCTATATCACCGCTTCCCAATTCTCCCCAATCTATCCCCTTCTGCCCCTTCCAATTAAAGACTTCTGAAGAGTATTTAGATATGTTGAAGACCCTCGAACACGATGAATCTGCCCCTTTCATAATGGATTTAAATAACATAAAGCAAAGATAACATAAAAAAAGTTATGTGAATACAGAACAGCAATTGCATATTGAAACCCGGAACAAGCATGATCTTTTAGTTGGATGGGGCGAAACGAGAAGGGTGAAGTGGGAAGGGGCGAATAGGAAAAGGGGAAAAATAGCAAGGGGAGATATTAAAAAGGAGCGCAACAAAAAAGGGACGAAAAGGAAATAATTTAGATTTTCTCATCAGTTCCATCCAAATTAGATGATTTCGCTATCTTCTATGTAACTAATAGGCTAATTAGTATTGGATTTTAGAAAATTATTCAAGACTTTTACGACATCATACATTTAATCTGATCAAAATATTTCATTACGTTTCCCTTTTATAGTTTACTTTTATCATTTGATATCAAATGAAATCAATGTATACTGTTTATATTAGATAAAAGAAGGTTTCTATCTAGACTCAGCCCTTCTCTCGCAGCCTCCCACCCCCTCCTGGATAATGTTTGCTAGTGTAAACACTGATAGAGGCCATGTTTTTATGTTTAAACCTCAAAGGTAATCTTACAAATAGCTGATTGCTAACTGTCACTGATCCTATTAATTGCTTGAAAATTCGGTTTTACTATTGGTAAATACACTTCTCTTATGTAATTGATAAATTAACCCCGTGGTATAGAAAGGTATATAAATGAAATATCTGGAAATTTTCTTAATGAGATTGATAATGAAATTGACCTATATCATATGATCAGTGCAGTATACCACATTCATAGGTTAGTATGGTCAAAGTGCCTTCCGGAAGTGATGACTTAATCACGACACTGAATTAATGTTCTATATATTTATATACTTTGACCAATATATATTTCGGAAAACCCATGTCATCATTTAACCATATAACCAAATATGGCAATTTTTAAAATGAGGATGTTTGGAAAAGTTTCATAGATTATAAAAAGCCTTATCACGGATATGATCTTTGATTTTAAGGGATTGTAAAGAGGTTTTCTAAATATTTCACGCGTATCGGGGACACTGATAGCAACGATTTGCACCATTCCAATTTTTACGTCTGTACTTCCTGCAATTCCACTAATAGTTAGTGTTTCATAACGTCACCCCGCAAAATTTGCTTGTATCACATAAGACCTTTGCGGAGATAACGCCATAAAATACTTAGTATTAGTGGAATTGCAGGAATTATCGATGTCTATTTGAAAATTGGAATGGTGCAATATGATGCTATCAGTGTATCCGATACACTTACAAAATTTAGAAAACCTTTTTACAGTCTCTTGTATGAATCGTATCTAATGCTGGAACACAACGCTCTAATTTCACTACATCACTATCCCAATCCTTGTTAAGGATGATAAAGTCGAATCAAGTGCATCCGACCTCCGAGAAAATCTTCTGAAGACTTAACACAAATTTAGATGTACATCGTGTTAAAATTTACAAAAGTACATGTTTATAGATGAACAGAATATGTTGTTGTGATCAAGTACACACACAAACCGTGTGCAGGCTGCAATATGCGGTGGGTTCGTTTTGCCGCATTGCCCAACTTGAAGCACCGTGCCCAACTGCACGAAAACGAGTTGTAAAACGAAACTAAAGGTTTCTAATAAAATCCGGAATGGCCATTTGTTTCACATGAAACGAAATATTTTAATATGGTGTCCCGCATCGATTTTTATACGCACACATCTCTCTATGTGGACGTATATTGACGGCAACCCCGTCCTTCCGTCCGTCCGTCAACATTTGCTTGTAAACGCTCTAAAAACTAAATTTTTTGATGGAATCAAATTCGGTATGTGTATACATATTCATAAAACGAAGATCAAGTTCGAATTTGAGCTGTTTTCGACCGTTAGAAGCAGAGTTATTGCCCTTGCCCCAAAATCTTGAATATGCTATTCTTCTCTTAGTTTTCAGCAGATTTTGATGAAACTTAAAATGGATCTTATTGGACCTAAATCGAAAGGTTTGAGAAAGGTTAGTTAACTTTGGATAAAATTTCAGGCTAGTTCAAGATTTAGGCCTCTTACGTCAGTTTTGAGGAGTTATCACCCTTTAACCTCTATACAGTAAGTGCTTCTATCAACATCAATTGCTTGTAAACACTCACAAAAACTAGCATGTTTGAAGGAATCAAATGAAATTCGGTATGTGTATACATATTCATAGAACGAAGGTCCGTCCGTCCGTTCGTCCGTTCGTCCGTCAACATTTGCTTGTAAACGCTCTAAAAACTAGATTTTTGATGGAATCAAATGAAATTCGGTATTTGTATACATATTCATAAAACGAAGATCAAGTTCGAATTTGAGCTATTTCGACCGTTAGAAGCAGAGTTATTGCTCTTGCCCAAAATCTTGAATATTTACCATCCGCATGCAGTGCTGGGCATATATGGCTGTGGTCCACTATCTAATTTTTCTTTTTTCTAAACAATCGCAGGTTCGTCGATTTTTGTAGCCAATCAACCCCAGCTTCTACCTTGTCCACCAGGACATTCTGGGACTAGTGGGGGTTGAGCCACTACCGAATTATAGAGCACATCGAATACGAGAATTTCAAACTTCTCCTCGCTTGATAATTCTGATTTACTATTCAGAAGATTTTCTCTATTCAAAAGATTTTCACTTTCACGCATTTCAGTTGCCATTTTTTCTAGCACGAGGGTGACGTTATTGGCACGCAGTAGAGGGACATAACTCTTGCAAGTTATTACCAAATTTAATTTATTGCACTTGTCTTGTTTCGTTTTATGGATTTATGTATTTTGTATTACGGTTCTGATCGTTTATACTTGGTATTTATTTTATTCCAGATTTTACCATAAAACTATAGTTTCGATTTCCTAACAGGTCCAAATTATACATAATAAAAAAAAGATGCGGAACAACAGATTAAAATATTTCGTTTCATGTAAAAAATGGCCATTCCGGATTTTATCAGAAACCTTTAGTTTCGTTTTGCATGTCGTTTTTGTGCAGTTGGGCACGATGCGGCAAGTTGGGCAATGCGGCAAAACGAACCCACCGTCCAATATGGACTAACTCCACTAATTCATTTGTCATCTCTTCCCGTGTTAAAACGCGAAATTCAATCTTCTACAACCTTCCAATATGTCGAATGAGAGCCTGACCAATCCTTAATGTCTTCTAAAAAATTCAATATATGATGACCATGAAAATTTTAAGGTACTAAAATTGAAAGTAGACTACTACTGGTTATACTCGGTTCACAAAACGACTATTTTTAGATTTCGGGGAAGGGAGGGTTTGATTCTCCCAAATGTACAGGCCTAGGGTGGAGCAGACACTTTATTTAGAAATTAGGATTAAGGGTCTTATTGGGTTTTCTTCTGTTCTTATTCTGATCTGAAATTAGAAAAAATAACTCGCCCGATGGGCGAGAAGTATAGTATCTGTTATGTACTGATTGTTTTTAGTTTACTATGAACAATATTATCATTTAAGTTCTTATTTTTTGAATATGCAACTATCATTTTCTGCTTATAGACATGGGGGAATTTCTCTTGAAGGCTCTTATAGTGGGCATGAACTATCTTTCTTGCTCGATTGCTGGTTGTATTAAACGGGACAACAAAGGGTGCTATGCCTACATTATGATGAACATTTAGTCCTATAGGTCTTGCTGTATTCAATGTCTCAATCCAATGGGCCTCCCTAGATTGACGGAATTTGGTAGTTTCATCTTCGGGCAAGTCAATTTCTATACGCTCAATTGGGATTAGGGTGAGATCGTCTATTGAATGGTCGTCGAGGTTGAAATGATTAGAAACAGGCTTGTCTTTCTTTAATTTGATGTCTGACCTATGAGCATTAAAGCGAGTTCGTAAATTATTCTTAGTTTCTCCTACATATTGTTTGGGGCATTTCTTGCATGAAATTAAATATATTACATTCGAATTTTCACATGTTAGATGTTCCTGGATCGGGTACCTTTTATTCGTAGAGTTGCTTACAAAATAATCAGTTTCTGATATAAAGGGACTTGTTTTGCATCTACTGGACAAACATGGAGCACTTCTTAAACCTGGAGGTACTTCGGCATAAAGTCTGTTTTTAGCTGCTATCTGTGCTAAGGTGGAATTTTTTATGTTTCGTAAAAATCGTTTAGAGTACCCACGCTCTTTCAGTTTTGAGAAAATAATCGTACAGGCTTGGTTGAAATCAGATCTTGTACAAATTCGATGAAATCGTAAAACTTGTGACTTAATTATACCAGAAAAGGTATGTTTTGGGTGAAAGGAGCTCTTCTCATCATGCCTTCAGAAAAAATTTCTACATCACCTAGCATCAAACCTAAGCTTAGACATATACAACGCGAAAGTTACTGGATCGATCAACTACAGACTGTGAGGCCAAATGCTTGAGTCAAAACGAATCCGCAGATCAGTGAAATTCGACTAGTCAACTCAAAATTGCCATGGTCACCATGTATCCAGATTCAAAGGTTTGGATAGGCTTCCATATGACATAAAGTTATCCGACAAACAAAATAAGCCAAACGAAGCATTCATATATAACTCATCATTTATTTGAACCGACACCGCCAATTTCCCACGATTTCCAAGTTAAATCACGAAAATCAACCCTTTATTAGTTTTTCCAGAAATCTCGTTGAAAACTTCACAATATGTCTCATGAAAGTTTGACCAATACTTATTGTGTGAATAAAATTCAATATTTCATGACCAAGAAAATTTGATTTCTTCCAACTGCGCAGGTCTAGGATGGAATAATGAAAACCCAATAATGCAGAATTTGAGATAGTTGCTCTATCTACTCTCTATGAAAATAAAGAAATCGTTTTTTCAGATAGGATACATCGCAGGCTTACGCCTTCATGAGCGTAAAAAATGGTGGTTTGGTTGTTTAAAACCATAATCTGTTTTGATCTGTTTAGTGATTTGATTACATGTTACATCTAGGGCGGAGATGCGGTTTCATTCATTAAAAAACTTGACAGGTTGTTTATCTCTTACAGTTATGCTATAGTGAAATTGCCCATATAATTTATATTCTAAAAAATACGTCTCACGTAACAAGTTATTTAAACTGTTGTATAGCCAGCTGTGCATCGTGCACATTGTGCTATTTGGCTTTTTCATAGGCTCTTATAGATATACTAGATATACTAGCAGTTTGTGACCTATTGACGGATTATATTTTATATTTTTACAGGTACCACATACATCTGCATGAAAATTGAACTGATCAAATAGAAGCAAACAAATGGCCTTGATATACTAAAAAAGATCCCTTTGAGTTTACAAATACAGTAACTTGTATATATTACATGAGGTTGGATCATATTCCCAAACATTTCCTGTCAAGGGTCATGCTTGATAGATCCTATTCAACTTTATGACTAGAAAAGTCATACATATTGTACACATTGTGTAAAATTGAGATAATGCATGATCCGCATTACACTGAGAAAAACCTTGACTTTATACTTACTTAATACTCTCTTTGTAAGGTTTTTTTCGGTGTCTGAAAAATCTAGACTAACTGTATAGAATTTAAATCATTGTAAAGTATATATTGTGAATTGTAGCTGTACATGAAAATTATTTCAGAATTTCGAAATCACATTAAAAAGACATGTCAATTTTTAACAACAGCTATACAAATTTAAAATCAAAAGATATATCAAATTATATCTCATACACGTTATGTGATAAAATAGATTATTGTTAAGGAAGAGTTACTCCTCTGTCGCTTTAAGTGGGAGGAGCTTTACGGATCTCGTCCTCTGAGTGTACATAAAACAATTGTTTAAGCATATTCATCATTTCGTTTTGTAAAAATATTTGTTAACCACGTAACCACACCATTAGTTTCTTTTTTTATCTAAAAGCTAGTAGCAGTTAAACGGTCAATAGTAATAAGCTGAATGAAAAGCAACAGCCAATGGTGATAGTAGTAGTAAGGGAGGTCCGATGGTATCCATAAGATTTCCAGCCCTTCAAAAAATCAGGGGATGGGGAGGGGTGTGGCCATTATTTCAATTTTTTGGTAGTCAATGACACCGGTTGTACGAGGTACGGATTGAACAAAGAGGGCAGAAGATTTGAAAATATAGATATGAAAGAATTTTTTCTGCATTTATCTTGAAATAAATGAATTTGATGGGAATCAGACTGTTTCCTTTTGAATTGCAAATTTTGGGTGACCTTTCAAAACCTACTATCTACAAGGTTGGAAAGATCAAATATAAGGCATTTTGAAAGTTAAGAATGCCGTTCAGTAACTTCTTTAGGGTTAAGTAGGGATAGGCATATGTTTAATGCTTATAGCTGTTCTCACCATCTTGACTATATGCCTTACATTATATGAATTAAAATCGTATATGTCTATTTTTAAATTTTAGTTGTCCCTTCATGTGAAACATTTACATCTTGTATTGAGAATGCACCATCTCTACCAGGAACAGTTACTGGTAATATTCCGTCATTTATTTCTGCCCGAGACACCGATAGATGGTGCCAGTAAGTATAAAATTCTGATCTAGACCTAGTTCCAATAGACCCATGTCTCTTTAACAACGGTACGACATTATCCACATCAAACTTTAACAACGGTACGACATTATCCACATCAAACTTTAGCAACGGTATGATATTATCCACATCAAACTTTAACAACGGTATGATATTATCCACATCAAACTTTAGCAACGGTAGGACATTATCTACATCAAACTTTAGCAACGGTAGGACATTATCCACATCAAACTTTAACAAAGGTAGGACATTATCCACATCAAACTTTAGCAACGGTAGGACATTATCCACATCAAACTTTAGCAACGGTATGATATTATCCACATCAAACTTTAGCAACGGTAGGACATTATCCACATCAAACTTTAGCAACGGTAGGACATTATCCACATCAAACTTTAGCAACGGTAGGACATTATCCACATCAAACTTTAGCAACGGTAGGACATTATCCACATCAAACTTTAGCAACGGTAGGACATTATCCACATCAAACTTTAGCAACGGTAGGACATTATCCACATCAAACTTTAGCAACGGTATGACATTATCCACATCAAACTTTAGCAACGGTAGGACATTATCCACATCAAACTTTAGCAACGGTAGGACATTATCCACATCAAACTTTAGCAACGGTAGGACATTATCCACATCAAACTTTAGCAACGGTATGACATTATCCACATCAAACTTTAGCAACGGTAGGACATTATCCACATCAAACTTTAGCAACGGTAGGACATTATCCACATCAAACTTTAACAACGGTAGGACATTATCCACATCAAACCTTAACAACGGTATGATATTATCCACATCAAACTTTAGCAATGGTATGATATTATCTACATCAAACTTTAATAACGGTAGGACATTATCTACATCAAACTTTAGCAACGGTAGGACATTATCCACATCAAACTTTAACAACGGTAGGACATTATCCACATCAAACTTTAACAACGGTATGATATTATCCACATCAAACTTTAGCAACGGTATGATATTATCCACATCAAACTTTAGCAACGGTAGGACATTATCCACATCAGACTTTAGCAACGGTATGATATTATCCACATCAAACTTTAGCAACGGTAGGACATTATCCACATCAAACTTTAGCAACGGTAGGACATTATCCACATCAAACTTTAGCAGCAGTAGGACATTATCCACATCAAACTTTAGCAACGGTAGGACATTATCCACATCAGACTTTAGCAACGGTATGATATTATCCACATCAAACTTTAGCAACGGTAGGACATTATCCACATCAAACTTTAGCAACGGTAGGACATTATCCACATCAAACTTTAGCAACGGTAGGACATTATCCACATCAAACTTTAGCAACGGTAGGACATTATCCACATCAGACTTTAGCAACGGTATGATATTATCCACATCAACCTTTAGCAACGGTAGGACATTATCCACATCAAACTTTAGCAACGGTAGGACATTATCCACATCAGACTTTAGCAACGGTAGGACATTATCCACATCAAACTTTAGCAACGGTAGGACATTATCCACATCAACCTTTAGCAACGGTAGGACATTATCCACATCAAACTTTAGCAACGGTATGATATTATCCACATCAAACTTTAACAACGGTAGGAAATTATCTACATCAAACTTTAACAACGGTAGGACATTATCCACATCAAACTTTAACAACGGTAGGAAATTATCTACATCAAACTTTAACAACGGTAGGACATTATCCACATCAAACTTTAACAACGGTAGGACATTATCCACATCAAACTTTAACAACGGTACGACATTATCCACATCAAACTTTAACAACGGTATGACATTATCCACATCAGACTTTAACAACGGTAGGACATTATCTACATCAAACTTTAACAACGGTAGGACATTATCCACATCAAACATTAACAACGGTAGGACATTATCTACATCAAACTTTAACAACGGTAGGACATTATCCACATCAAACTTTAACAACGGTATGACATTATCCACATCAAACTTTAACAACGGTACGACATTATCCACATCAAACTTTAGCAACGGTAGGACATTATCCACATCAAACTTTAGCAACGGTAGGACATTATCCACATCAAACCGTTGCTTTCATCATATTTTCTTCATTAGACATTAATTACTTCCCTCTGGTAATGGCGAAATGGAAGGGGACATAATTCAACCGTGAAGTCGTACTTGTTTTGCTAAATCTTTGACTCGCATGTCATTTCAAATAAATATGAACATTTTGATGAGTTGTAAAAAATTTCTTTCTTCCTCGTCTATAATAGCTGTTTGACAATTGACACTTTATGACAATAACTCAACTGTGAACTTTGAGATTCAATTATCAGGAATTAAATTTTGTACTAAAATTTTGTGTTTTTTTTCAAATATTTTGTTTGGAAGAATCTTATTGGTCGAGAATTAAACTCTCTTCCAATCAAAATTAATGACGAGAATATGTGATTTCTAGAGGAGGAACATACAATAGACCATACCAAAAGCTTTGGTGACCCGAAGAAGGGTTGAATCCACCTAATACAAATGGGAGATAATTAATAAGAAATTACGTGTATATGTGTAATGATGTTATTTTGTTATTTTGCTAAACGCTGTAAAAATATTATCAAAAGAAGCGACAGTTGAAATGATTGAATGAAGTTATTTGCCTTGAAGTATGCAAAGTACATCAAAAGTTATGTACGAGATTAAATGTAATTGTTATTGTTAACACGACTTCCCAGCATGTAGAATTAGACAGGATGAAATCATAATCAGTTATTGATATTACTAATTGAGAGGGAGACATATGTTCTATCATATATCATTCTATCATATATCAACAAATTAAAAATGATATGATATAATTCACTTGTAGCCCTGAATATATTTCAGCATCGCCAAATCTTATGTATCGTGTGGATTACTAGCAAAAGAAAAGATTTCGTGTTTTCTCCTCACTACTGATGTTTCCAAAATTCAGAAAACTAGTGATAATGCTTGTCAGGGAGGTGAGTTCAAGGCTTTAGTTTGACCAAATCTTATTCCCAAGACTTTGGAATGCAGTGGCGTATTTAGGGGGAGGTCATGGCCCCTCCTCAGAGCAAAAAGTTTGCTCTATTTTCACTTGAAAATCGCAAAATATGAGCATTTTAATGCTGTGTTTTTGTTACAGTTCGTGATCCCTGTCATCCAGTCTCAGAGTGCTTGGAATCGATTAGGGGAAGTCATTCTGAATTGATATCTAAGAGTACATGCCCGTAAGTATTCTGTTATTTAGTTATCTTCTTCATAATCAAAACAATATACTAAACGTACACATTGGCTGTGAAAAGAAATCAATTGTAACTAAAACCTTAACATGAATGAAACACGGGTAAACCCATGAACATTTACACCCTACGTATTTACAAAAATAAAGTCCCAGAACAATAATGGAATTACCGACAAGCTCAGAGATGAAAGGTGGACGCAATGAAAGAAAAAAGTGCATAATCTGACACGGGATTTTATGTTCATAAGAGGCTTCCACGAGAGGCTTGCGACTATGACGCCTCGCCCACAGAGTTGCCACAGTTTGAATTCAGAATGTTATAAGTTCGTATATTGTCGTCGCCTAATTGTAATAAAATTGGTTGAATTTATATTGATGCGATCTTGGTCAAGTTCGAATTTGACGATGTTTCAATGAATGGTTTTTGAGTTATTGCCCTTGACTTCGTGAAAACGCGTCAAAATTTGTTTGTGAACACAATAGAAAATACAGTTTTATCCGATTTTAATCATATTTGGCGTGGGCATTTATATTGATGAGGCCTACAGTTTTCATCTGATTTTAATGAAATTCGGTGTTATCATTTATAATGATGTCCTTGATTTAGTAAAACACGTCAAATTTATAAGACTAAAGTTTTGACCTTTTTTTTAATGAAATTAGGTGTCATCATCTAGAATTATGAAGTGGTGGTCAAAATCATTTGAATTATTACCCAGGTGGAAATTGTTTTACTCAGGTGAAAATTAAATTTTTTGATTAAAAATTACAGGAATTATCTCCCAATTATCACCTAAGAATTATCATTAAAGTTTTTAATTAAAAAAAAAGTGAAATATGTCGTATATTAGCCACCGTATAAATCAATAAAATAAAGCTAGAATTTTCGTATGATTTGACAACCGTCCATGATATGCTGAAACTATATCTTGGAAGTGACCATATATTGTAGAAAGCCACTTGTTTTTATATTTACAGGATATAATTAATCAAAATCACCTCCGGTTTGGGCTTGAGAACCACCGTTGCCAAGAGACATATTCAATGATTTTTCACAATATGGACAACAGTTTTATCTGCTCTGAAACTGGTGAGATCATTTGTATTGATGAGATCTTGGTTAGGTTCGAAATTGACGATTTTTCGATGAACGGATTTTTGAGTCACATGTATTGACCCTGACTTGGCCTGATAAAAGGCCGTCGAAATTTGTCGAAACTCTATAATGACTGCAGTTTTTATACACCCACAAATGGGGTGGGCGTATATTGCCTGTCCTTCCGTCCATATTTCTTGTAGACACGATAGAGACTGCAGTTTTCAACCGATCTTTATGAAATTTGGTATGAATGTATATATTGATGAGATCTCAGTCGAGTTCGAATGAGTAATAAACGGATGAACTGTTAAAGAGCTAATGCCCTTGACTTAGTAAAGACGTGTTAAATTGGGCTATCAACCAAACAATAATATATTTAAAAATATTCTAAAATACAAAAGTCCAATCATGTGGAATTTTTTTAATAATGATGTTAAATATTCCAAAAGCTTATCAATTTTCCGGAAAAAATCAATGCTCAAATCAACAAATGAAAAAATCTCCCATCTACATATTCATTTAATATTTATTTATTATTATTTTTCTTATCATAAGAAGGAAGATATTCTTGTATTAAATTTTGTTCATTCATATGTATACATTTTTACGGAAGCGTATTAGGGCCATTCATTTTTTTTTTAATTTAGTAACTTGGATTTTCAAGTCAGTATGTTGAATTTTCAAGTTAGTATGTTGAATTTTCAAGTAAGTATCTTGAATTTTCAAGCTAGTATGTTGAATTTTCAAGCTAGTATGTTGAATTTATTAAGTTGAATTTTCAAGTTAGTAACTTGAATTTTCAAGTTAGTATCTTGAATTTTCAAGTTAGTATCTTAAATTTTCAAGTTAGTATCTTAAATCTTCAAGTTAGTATCTTGAATTTTCAAGTTAGTATCTTGAATTTAGTAACTTGAAAATTCAAGTTACTAACTTGAAAATTCAAGTTACTAACTTGAAAATTCAAGTTTCTAACTTGAAAAGTCGTTTAATTTTCAAGTTACTAACTTGAAAATTCAAGTTACTAACTTGAAAATTCAAGTTACTAACTTGAAAATTCAAGATAATAACTTATAGATTATGCTCTGGTACATTCATTCCTTATATTTACATTGGTTTATCTTTTCTGATAAAATACGCCAAAACGCCTGTCCCACTCTGGCTCATCTTTGCTTCACCTCTACCTCTCTTGGGTCCCATCTTTGTGTAGTTTTTCAGGTTCAGGATACTTTTTCTGAAACAATGCAATGAGTACCTATGGACTTCGTAGTCACGTATGAGTGGTACTCAAGTCGCAGCGCTGGAGACATACTCCAGAATGTCCCGCTTTGCTCAAAGCTTTCCAACGATCTATTACGACCCTGATGCTTTAGTCGAGCTTTGTTGGTACCGCTTTGCACGCCACTTTAAAGCGCAATCAAAGCGCCGTTGATGTGAACTGAGCAAAGGAAGATGATTCATATAAGATAAAACAGAAGACATAATACTCAAAAGAAGTTGTACTCATCATTTTACTACAAACATTTCACAATTTGGAAATTACTTTACAGTTGAAAATATACTTCTGGTATTTAACAAATATTTAAGATTTTTGAAAGATGCTAAATGAATTATTTAAATGGACTATAGTTAAGTTACATGTGAATATAAACATTTGATTTTAGCATTTCAATCATTATATCGTTTGAATTATAAGTAATAGATAATAAGATATTTACATTTGTCTTTGAATCAGTGTATTAGACAAATCGATAGAGTATGGATTAATGGCGTAAATTGACCTCCATACACGTTGACCTTTAATATAAGGGTCAGACATCCAAATAGAAAAACTTTATGTTATCTTGTATTTCTGGATTTCGATTGAAATAGTAAATCTTGTAAAAATATGTTATAATTATGGAATAAGATGTACATGTTATAATTAAATTATTTATTTTAAAGATTACCAGTCAACAGTGCTAGCAACAACTCCAGCAACAGTAAGCGATGGTAATGAAATTTTAAGTTAATGTGTAAACATTTTAAAAATTTGGTCGTCGTACAAATCTTACCATTGCCCATCAATACATTTGAGGGATTAGACCGACACGTTGACCTTTATTCATATATTTTAGATTCCGACAACCATGAAAACAATAGAGATATCTGTACATCCCAGAGTTATCACAGGAACACAAAAAGGAGACACGGCGCATACACTGCCACTTTCCTTTCTCTGATATAGACAGATCTGACTATCTTTGACATCCTCCAGAGGCCCAGAGAACAACACCACAGCAGTGTTGTCTCTCCATTGCACTGTCTGCAACTGATCAGAATAAGCTAAATCATGTAACCTTACATCTTGCTAAGCATGCATGTTGAACACCTGCTGAACTAAATATAGATATGATGAAATACATCAAAGACATAAACAGGATGTTGTTATAACAATGTTAAAATAGTGTTGCGACAAATTTAAAGAGATGGTATTTGGTTACTCGGTCACACAACAAAACATCATTTACATGCGTGCAAATAAGATTAAGTTTTGTCATGTGATGAAAGGAGACATTTTAACTCCCATGAAAAGGAACATTTTATGGCTAGCCTTAAATATGCCGATATCCCATTAATCTATAATATTGACGTATCTAGATTACCAAACATCAACACCAGCACTAGCAACCACTCCCAAAGTAGTTGATGATGGTAATGAAGCCGGAACAATCAGAGGTGACTATATTTTACCGCTTTGCCAGATGGAAAAGCGTATGTGCGATGTTTGAGGCCATTGGCATCAGAAGTGGTCAAAGAGTAACCCAATGGACACCACTTTCGGGGCAAATATTTCTTAAACGCAGTATTCATTTTATTTCTGTGGTTGTGTGAACTACTAACTTGACATCATATAGACATAGGACGTGTATATACGATTATGTACATCAGGTTCTGATTAAGTTGGGCCTTGAATATACTTACTTCTTCTATCACTAGTTTATCTTTGCATGAAAATTGGGGTACCCGAAAAGTGTTTGTCTTGTTCATAAGTTCTTGTATAGGAAATACTGAGTACGGGTGATTTTTGATTATCCAGTCCTTAACCGTTATAAATTATTGTAGAGTCTTAAAAAGGCGAGTCGTCAGTATAATTTTCAAACACGGGTATTTATTACACTCTTGGCTAAGAAGGCTAAAACTACTGTAAGCTTTGAACACTATTTTTGAATACCTCAGCTGAACAATTAAGGTGCAATTGACCGTAAAATATAATTCCTTTCCCAGCAGAAAAATTCAGCGTTTGGTGTTTTTGGTTGGGCTGCCTATATAAAGCTGAAATTAAGCTCTATCAGGTTATCAAATCAAATTCTTTTTTTCAGCGACTGGTGTTGTCTTCATGATTACAGTTTTCTTGGTGATCTTTATCTAGAATACAACAACTATATTATACTACTTGCTCTTCTTTAATTCTGCTTTTGTTTTCAACTTTAAGTATTTTATATAACACCGGGATGCTTGAACAAAAAAGGACAGCATGGGTAAATAGATGTACACAATTCATCAATGAGGAGATGTACACATTCCATCCATGACGAGATATACACAATTCATCCACGACGAGATGTACACAATTCGCCAAAAATAGTTTTATTTTGTGATCAAATCCCTTACTGTATTTATTATGATCGATTTTTTTAATCTTTAAGAATTTATTTTATCAATTGCTTTATTAAATAAAGTAAAACGCGAGCAATATTTTACAAGTGCCACGCGTGCCTTATGTAAATTTTCTGGAAACATGAAACATTTATGAATCCATAAGAAATCTTTTATTTTGGTATTGCCGTATTTATCCCTGAAGCAATATTTTCCAAGTCAGTAATGGACCTAAAAAAGTAACTTGATAAAAACTTGTTGAAAGAGGAAATATTTAACATCTTCTAATGCTTTGAGTTATACTTATACCCATTTTTATACGCCCACATCTCTGTCCGTCCGTCGGTCCGCCCGTCCTTCAACATTTGCTTGTTAACGCTCTAAAACTAGATTTTTTGATGGAATCAAATGAAATTCGTTATGTGTATACATATTCATAAAACAAAGATCAAGTTCGAATTTGAGCTATTTTCGACTGTTAGAAGCAGAGTTATTGCCCTTGCCCCAAAATCTTGAATACTTACCATCCGCATGCCGTAGTGGGCGTATGCGGCTGAGGTCCACTATCTTTTGATTAGTGCCTGTGCTAATGAAGACAGGGGCTCCCACACCATAGCAATCACTAGTTGCGTATGCAAGCCAATAAGAATAGCGGTCATAAGATCCGAACGGAACTTTCATGTAACTGTGTTGTGAGTTGCGTTCTGAACTCATTATAACTTTCAGTTTTCGCATTTGTTAATCGCTATGGATGTCAGGGAACCTTTAAACTAAATCTAAAGTGTGACATCAACCAGGTAAAAGTGTAACTTCCAGCAATAATGTGATCATAAAAATTCTTCAAAGGAAACTCTTTGTTTTTGTTATAAAAGGAATATTTTTTAAATATATTTTTTCTTCTTAAATAAACATTCATAATTGTAATGATTGCTTTTCCTTCATTAAACTGTGCTTAATGAAAAATCGAGTATACATGTATATGGAGAAATCTATACGAAGCCCCATGCTCTCAAGCTAAAATATAGCAATGAGATTGACATACCCTTCAGTCGAAATCCTTGCAGGACATTGGGGGGAAATATGTTCACTGATCACGGAGATTAATTGGCATCACTCGGGAGAAACGTCCAGTCGTTCGGATGTGACAATGTGACAAATAAATACAGACTGTGTACGGCAAAGACCCTCGAAATTAAAAAGAGACAAGCAATAAATAAGTGATCAACATCTGACAAAAGCATAGAGCAGAGGTCACTATCTTTTTGTGGGGGCTACTTTACACAAATTTTTTTGTCTGATTTTTAAATATCAAAATTGCCGCTGCCCTGGCAAAATATCCCTGATTGCACAATGCTGGATTTATACTTCTGACACCGTCAACGGCCGTAATACGCTATCATAGGCTCGCAGTCGGCGGTTGCCAGCATTCATAAGTTCATACTATCCACGTCTTTATTAAAATAGTTTGAATGTTTTGTCCATATTCAAATACCATGCGAAATACTTTCAAAAAGTTCAAATTATACTACATATACACACATGCCAAACTAGTTTGAAATTATAGTAAAAACATAAATAAAGGTTATAAAATATATATCCTAAATAGTTTAAAATTTTACTACATATACATACATGCATTATGGAAACAATCTTGAAAATAGTAATATGAGATCTATTGTCAAAATTATCGTTTTGGAAATTCAGTCCACATTATACAAATTGCAAAATAGTTTGAAGTTGTATTTGAAAAGTTAGTCATATTGTCGAAAAGTTTTTTTATAGATTTTACTCCATACTACATTATAGACTAAAATAGTCAAAATAGTTTTTAAATAGTATTTGCAATGTAATTTGGAACTTTAGACAATATATAAAGATTATGAGACATTTTGTCGAAATAGTTTAATCAAATATATATAATGATAGAAATAATCATCAAAATAGTTTGATATTGTCTTTGAAGTATGAAAAATATTGTCAAAATGATTATTTTAAATTTTAGTCCATATAAACATTACTAAGTTTAAATTTTTACTATATATACGTACGTTATATAACAAAAATGGTCAAAATAGTTTGAATTTGTTTTTGAAATATGAGACATTTTGACAAAATTATCGTTTGAAACTTTAGACCGTATATAACAATTACTAAGTTCAGAACTTTACTCTATATAGATACATTATAGACTAAAATTGTCAAAATAGTTTGAATTTGTTTTTGAAATATGAGACATTTTGACAAAATTATGGTTTGAAATTTTAGACCGTATATAACGAAAATTGTCAAAATAGTTTGAATTTGTTTTTGAAATATGAGACATTTTGACAAAATTATAGTTTGAAATTTTAGACCGTATATAACGATTACTAAGTTCAGAACTTTACTCTATATAGATACATTATAGACTAAAATTGTCAAAATAGTTTGAATTTGTTTTTGAAATATGAGACATTTTGAAAAAATTATGGTTTGAAATTTTAGACCGTATATAACGATTACTAAGTTCAGAACTTTACTCTATATAGATACATTATAGACTAAAATTGTCAAAATAGTTTGAATTTGTTTTTGAAATATGAGACATTTTGAAAAAATTATGGTTTGAAATTTTAGACCGTATATAACGATTACTTAGTTCAGGACTTTACTCTATATAGATACATTATAGACTAAAATTGTCAAAATAGTTTGAATTTGTTTTTGAAATATGAGACATTTTGACAAAATTATCGTTTGAAACTTTAGACCGTATATAACGATTACTAAGTTCAGAACTTTACTCTATATAGATACATTATAGACTAAAATTATCAAAATAGTTTGAATTTGTTTTTGAAATATGAAACATTTTGACAAAATTATCGTTTGAAACTTTAGACCGTATATGAAGATAGTGAGACATTTTGTCAAAGTAGTTTTAAATTTGATTACATATACATATATTATGGGACAAATGATCAAAATAGTTTGAAAATGTAATCCAAATATGAGATCAATTGTCAAAATTATCGTTTGAAATTTGAGTCCATACAAGCATTATTGGACGCTATAAGAGAGAGAAAATATCCACATAACGTCATGGTCAGAAATGTGGAAAACTGTCAATATGAACCAAATATTTCATGATTCGAAACATATATCGAGCTATTTGGAGAACTTCTCCTCTCACTCTCCTCATGCAAACTGTCAATAATTTACTTGTATTATCACAATGAGTAATGTTGCATAATGGCTTTGATTGTGCTTCACTTTATCAAATGAGTCTTATCACTTGTGCTTCATTTTACACCAAACTTCACGTTCCATTTCCTATTTTATTCAACATCCGGTTAAACACGTGACGGACTTGTTGGGCAGAACTACGTCTACGACCCTTTATCTCCATCATTTTACGTCGTTTAACTTCACGATGAAGTTCATGAAATACATCAATAATATCTTCACCCCCATCACTCACTGAAGTTTCGAAAAAAGCAGCCGACATTTCCTGAGCTATAGATTCGCCTTCATCATAACTGACTTTACGATCATGTAATAAATCGACTTTATTCCCCACTAAAACACATTGTGTGTTTGTTCTCTTGACGTCATCAAGATATTGTTTAATTTGTAGTACGTCATCAAAGCTCTGTTTATCAGTGATGGAGTACACAAGAATAAATCCATCCGCCCATTTTACATAGCTTTCTCTGCTGATATTTTCTTCCTAGAAAAAAATGATAATATTCTTAGTAATATGGTTCATGACTTTCCTTTAGATAATAGAATGTAGGTGAATTAGTCATAAGAAATTTTATCATCGGAAATTGACCATGAGGTCAATTGTTCGAATTTATTTGACCACATAACATATCATGGTAAGTTGGTCACAGGGTAAATTAGTAAATTATGACAAACTAGCGGAGTCCATTTGCTGTGGCTCATCAATCTTGTGACCTATTGAGCATGTGACCAATATACAACAGCAGCATTTTCGACTACCAAATTTTCTGCGACCAATTTACCTTGTGACCGTATTAATATGACCTATAACACTGACAGATTTCCCGTGTGACCAAATTTCAGGTGACAGCATTTCCTGTAACCAATTGTCTGACAATTTCTTTTAAGAAAGAAAATAACGCAAGTATGGTTTGGAAAAAATATCATACCTGGCCAGCTGTATCCAATATCTCCATATATACTTGTTCTTCATCTATATTAGTCGTATGTTTATATGTACTCTCTATAAAAAAAAATATGAAATAAAACTATTCAATGAGGCGGATTTTAAGTTGACGTCTATATACTGTGGCCTAATGAATTCTTTAAAATAAAACAGAACCATGAAATATATTTCTTTTCTTGCTCTGAGATATTTTTATTCATGTTTTCTTATTCAAGTCATGCTAAAAAAATAATCCATTTTCACCGACAAAAATTTAATAAAACGTAATAAACAAATTTAGCAATCATGATCAGGTCAGGTCGTTCGATTTTCCCGTAACTGTCAAACCCTGCTCATAACCACAATAATAATCAGATCAAATAAATCTCAATCTACCAATTTTATCATGATCCAGCGTTTTAGCTGCTATCGTACACTATTTGTAGTAGTAAATTATATGGTCTATCTAGGCTAATTTTGGGCGCCATTTTTTATTTCATGTTAGGCTGGTCAGGGTAACTCAAAGAGACGTGTACGCGTATATAAAATTATAAAATAGAAATGAAATGAAATAAAATACTTCATTGTCCGAAATCACCAAGCGGATGTGACGTCCTGCTCTTAATAACAGCAAATTGACAAACACAATAACAGAGGAATGTATTACCTAAGGTTGGATCATATTCCCATATAAACCTTTTTGTCAAATACCTTACAACCAGAGCTGAAATGTATGAGAGTACAAAGCCTCGTAATATAAGCCAATTTAACACCATTTTACGTGGATAACCATTAATTTTTTACCCTTAAAGGTAAAATTTGTGAACACTTTTATAAGATAATACATGCAGTGAAGTAACAATCAGAAAAGGCAAAGAATCTTCTAGTTAATCAGCAATGCATATACAAGGTAAAAGTCAAGCCTTTGGTGGCTAAAATATGGTAATTCTCTGCAGAATTATGGAAATTTGACTTGAAACGATGCATTCTGAAGTATTTCCGTATAAATGTGTAACGGTTATTTTGGCAATAGATTTTAAGCCTTTAGAAAACTGCCTAGTTTATGGATATTTTTGCTTATGCTCCACAGTGCGGACACCCATGATTATGCTGTATCGAAGGTAACATGACACGTACCTGACTCGTGCTCATAGAAGATCAATCTACTGGTTACTTTTTCTATATAATAACCCCGAACGTACGTGATGTAAATGATTTATTACTTCAGTTTTGGTTTTTACAAATGAAATGAAATGTTTTACAACAATATTTTGCTGAACATAACTGACATACCTTTGATACCTTAATAACCTAAGAAGTGTTTTTCTGTGTTAAACTATTTTTATAATCATCGGATGTGTATTAGTTACATATCAGTTACACTCAATTCCAACTTGAACTCTTTTAAAAGAGTTGGCCAGAAATATTACAAGATCGTCTTGGCTAATTTACACTTAATTTATAAAACAATATTTCTTGGTTTTGAAGAAAAAACAAAATACGAACGATCCGAACCGCAAAACGAAACTTAAAATCCATGGTATATCTATTAAAATTGAGGAAGTATTTCATTATAAGAAGTGGTATCAAGCGTCTACAAGCCGTTGTTGCTCAAATTTTAAGGTAGAAACAAAAACTAGTGCTATGCAAAATTGTATAAAATATCTGTGTGAAATTATGTAAAGTATCAACGTCTTATATTACCAATGTGAAACAGAAACTGCAATCGCACCTCAAAGGATATGCCGACATAGCAAATAACTAAAAATCTAAAGGCTGATCTTGTTTTTGACCATCGAAATACGTTGTTGGAAAAATTATTTGGAATGGCCTTTAGAATACAGCTGTTGGTCGTGTTGTGTTAAGCCATACTCCGCGAATGAACGGCACATAAGAATAAAAACATGCTTGGTTTCATATCTCTTGTAAAAGATAGCTTATATATACATATATATGTATGTATAATATACATATAATGTACAGTAACAATTACACCTTGTTTTGTCTTAATCTGTCAAGAATTGTGCCTTCTAGAGTGTTTTCGAGCTTATAATTGAACGCGTTTTCAAGAACAAGGACAATAACTTTTTTTTTATTTTAAATAGGGTTCATCCTTGGATGATAACAAACATTCACACACAGTTTCGTTAAAATCCGTCAAAAATTGCGCCTTCTATAGAGTGTTAAGGAGCATTTCAATGGCAATAACTCATACTAAATATTGTCGACGGACGGACATGGGTGACGACAATTTACATGTGGGCGTATAAACAATGTCGTGGGAGCATTATTGATATCTAAATTTTAGAACAAAGAACGTTCTATATCTATGATGCACACGTAAAAAAATTCAATTGGTTTGGTCGCCAAGGTACACAATTGCATACGCATGGGAATAAGTCATGTCGAAAATGGTTCAAAGTTTTACTGCTGATGAATGGATTAGATAATATAAATCATTAACTGAATCGCGAAATTAAAAGTTGACCTAATAACGATAGACACACTTTGTTAAGTGATTTACACGTAGTTATTAAAGCAGTAGTATAAAGACGCCATGTGGTAATATTTTAAACTAATTAGTTACTTGAAATCTAGTAATGGGAAAAACTGTGTTCGGGTACAACTTCATTCATAATAAGAGATTTAAAAAACTTCAGTTCAGACGAACTTGATTGACGTAATGGTTGCAGAAATCTGGCAAGAATGAAATGATTCGAAGAAACACTTATTTTGATAAACACGAGCTTTTTAAATGTCATTCACTTTTCAGTATTGTTATGTTCAAGTATTAATTGATGTATTTCATAATTCTCAAGTTACGCATAATACCCATTAGATAATCGTAGTTACAGTACTGTGAGAAAATGATTTTAAGATTTAGAATCTTGCCGATTCTTTCTTCACCTATGACATTGTGACTGACAGAGGCACACCAAATTGGACCAGTTATGCAAGGAGTTTATCAAATCACCAAGTAAATTTTCAACCCCTTCCATGAACGCTTAGGGGGTAATGGAAATATAGAAATAGTACTATAACCTCGAACACTTTGGAGAGTTTTGCTACATTATCATCAAGTTTCAGACTATAGTATTATAAGTTTAGATATCACGAGGTTAGCTCAGATATGGTGTGGTGAATTTGACTATATAGACGTTTTGTCCTTTCCAGTTGATTATAGAGTGCATAATTTCTGGTATAGATACGTTATAAAAATTTGTAGTTTGATAGTTCCAGTTAAAAAACGTACTGTAGATAATTTCAGTTATGTACACTCGACTTGCAGACGATTGAAAATTATTTCAGATACTGTATTTCAACCGACAGCTCTGGGAGTGTGCGATATCCCATCCGTATACCACGTCTGAGGAACGGGTAAAGCCAGATTTGTCGGGCTTGTAGTACTTTATCTATCTCATGTCGGGGATTGTAAAGAGGTTTTATAAAAAATTTATGTGTATCTGGGACACTGATAGCATCAATATGTGGTTACTACACTTTCCCCGATACACATACAAAAGTTAGAAAACTTCCTTGCAATTCTTTTAAAAATTGAATTATTGCAAACCTGATTTACCAACACCAGCTCGTCCCATAACAACTATTTTAGTTACTTCCATTTTGTACCATTACTATCAGATACTGTATCCATTACTACTTGATCGTTCCGTTCTTAGTTTTGGTACCTTTGTATATTTACTAACTGAAGTATACCTATTACCAACACCTAGTTTTGTAATATTCTTTGAATGCAGATTATGACCACAAGTCTCAAACGAAAATTCTCAACCAGACACAATTCAAGTCTGAAAGTATACAATTCAAAATATATCGATCAGATAAAGCCAGAAATGTCTTTTAGAAAATTATGTTACAAAATATACAAACTCTAAACTGATAATTCAATCAGTGTACGTGTTTAAAATCATAGTTTAACTGTTATGATAATTGGTCTGGTTTTATTTGACAGGTTGGTGGCGAATGGTTTATATTTCTAACAAATAATATAAACAAATAATTGTATCCTCGGGGCTGCTAATTAACGTCTTCATTTTCACCGACTGAAATACCGCCATTAAACGAAGGTTTTTTACTCCTTATTGACAAGAAAGAAGAGAAATATGACGCGTCATGTATAAGAACATTATCACGCCACATGCTTGGTACTTAATGACTAAATTTTTCCAAACATCACATCAAATTTTCAAAGCTTGAAATCTGCTGTCTTTTTCAAGTATATCGCAAATATACACATAGATAAACAATGATTTTTATTTTGAAATGAAATATTGATATAAACCCAGTATTTGATAACAAGGGCTAATTGCTAAAATGATAGCTGTAATAGCAAGCACATTTAAGATCCTGTTTCGGGCATTATAGGTATGTAATATACAATAGAGCTAGTCAGCAGTGCCAATCGAGATAAAAACCCACAACTACCATTTGATGTACGTAGCTATAACAATCACGTAATGGAATTGGTCGGTTGTCAGAATTTGTCAGGGTGGGTAATCCCCCCCCCCCCCCCCCATGCACCATAAACACACACGCCCCTGAAACTATGGGCCTTGACACAGTAGAACAAGTCAGTTTGCTGTAGGTCGTTAGTATATATTAACCCTGTCAGACGTGATGTAATATTTATATAGCATTTATCAATTATCTTTGTTAAAGGGGTGGAGAGAGATTTGTGAGATGTTTTACTTCCATTTTTCTTTTAATCAGAAGCTGTCTGATTTCTTATATTTCATATAGATAGTAGGTGAGTAAGCCAGATCATTCATTATCTTGAGGATGGTATAGTTTGTGTGATTTTTTTCTCATGATAATCTAGCTCTAGATATTTCGTTTCGTTTATTTTCAATGTGTTATTTCACTCGCTCAATTTCAAGATAAAAACTTTTTGGAAATTATATAAACTACAAACATCCCGTGTTGTTTCAATTTTTCAGAATCTTTAACGTAATTTTTCGGACTACGGTTACAAATGTTTACATAAAATATTAGATAGCTTATTTAAATATTTATTGTGTATCATTTTGTCTACATTCATATCATTTCTTTCGCTTTATCATTATACAGAAAACACATTTTATCACATAGCTCTGAAATATCATGTCACTCGGGAATAACACTGATATACTATATATAACCCTTAACTTATTGGACATCACGTAACTCTGAAACATGTAAATTGAATATCAGCTCACTCGTAGACAGCTAAACGCCAGATAACACTGAAATATTGAAAGGCAGTGGCAAATCATTTAACTCTGAAATATCATGAATTTGTAGCACCCAACACTGAAACATGGATTAATATTAGGACATCTCTTAACTCTGGAACATCACGATTCTTGAGTAGCATTTTAACTGAAACATGGAATATTGCGAAACTGCTGTGACATCAAACACTGACACATCGAACACTGGAACTGGAATAACATTCAACACATAAACATAGAATAACGTTAGGACATCAAGGAACTTGTGTGACTACAATTTCATCCAACTCAAATACATCGATAATTTCGAGGCATCAATAAACTACTACTCACTTAAACATGGAATACTTTGTGATTACAATATTATCTTACCCAGAAACATCCAAAATTTGGAGGCATCACTAAACTATGGAAAATCTTGTAACTGCAATGCCATCTTACCCTGAAACATCGCATTACTCAAGGACATCAATTAACTATGGAACATAACTTAACTAAATTATCATATTAGTCTAAAACCCCAAATAACTCTTGGACATGATGTAACTGTAAAGTCATCTAAATTCGAAATATAGAATAATTCTAAAACTCTTAACTAAATATCAACATACTTTAAAGACACGCAACTGTGGAACATCAGGCAACCCTTTTGATATTAAATAAATAATAAATGGAAAGGGAGTGAACTGAAAAATGTTTGAAAAAAGAGAGAAACTTGACATTTTCGATACTAGTGTTGCAGTATCTCACGACCATCTCATTTAACAGTTCTAAAAACATAGCATCTTCACAATGCCAAGCTAGAAATGAAATTCGTCTCATACCTTGAGATCATTAGACACATTTCTTGTAATACGAAATTCGGCTATTTGTTTGGATTGTCAGACCTACTGTATAACTTATTGTTTACAGTCTTTTAGCTCAAGAGCTCTGATTGGCTGTATTCGCTAGCGCACATCAACAAATTCTCTGCATTTGCAAACCTTCGTATTAGAAGAACAGGTATAAGTTATCAAAGTTTAAAAAGAATTTTGTAATAGCTTGACACTTTAAATAAATATATAGCAAAAAAAAAACAAATGCTATATATAACATTATAAAAGGAATTGCGTAGAAAAATAAATTTGTTCAGAACTGCGTGTTATTTTGTTTCCCTATAATTCATGATTTGTGACCCATGAAACGAGTGGAGTAGAAAAGGAATCATGTGATGTATATATAATAGAGAACATTCTTGATAATGAAAAAATACCTAAATAATGACAAAGATAACACAACATAATTAGAATACAACATGGTGATACAGGTTGAATAAACAAACATTGTGATCTCAAACAACTTCTTTCTGTCACTTCAACCTCATCAAATAATAAATATCTTTATAGAGAATAGGATGTACCACAGCTGAAATAGTCTTTGATGTTTCAATGCAACTGCTTAAAACATGTAGTCAATAAGAGAAACGGTAAATTCTATAACTGTGGCATCCAAAAGAAACTGGTTTGGGCGTTAAGGAGAACTGTTGAACAATAGCGTAAAAATAGAATGTAGAAGATTTGACTTGTATTCGAACTAGTTTCCGGATGGAAACGGCGATATTGGGGCATGCATGAACCATTGAACCATAGTATTCGAAAGTTTCTCGAAAGTAATGTCTGTCCATTGGTTTTATAACAGTTGCATTTCGACTTCAATTTTCAGATGGGACAATGTACCGAGCGCTTCAGATTATACACGTTAAAGATCTTTCGACAGTAACAAATCGAAAGAGACGGCTTAAGCCACTGTCCTGGCAAAATTCCTTTTACTGCACATAGCATGGCGTTGCCCGTGTTCATTACTCTAGAAAGTAGGACGTAAATCTCAGCTCATTTCATTCCATTTCTGTCCGACCATGTGTAAATTGCAGCGGATGTTTAGATTAGATCCGCACCTTTTCCCCATCATGGAGGTCCCGTATGAAACTTCTAATAGTTGGTATTGAACGAATAATCAATTCCCGTATGCGAATGTGCATTGTAAAACAACAATCGGTAATTGAAAATTTGAAATGAGTAAACCAACTGTTGCCGATATCCCGGCAATATGCATCTTTCAATGTTGAACTAACCCAATCAGGTTAAGCAGGAAGAAGAACATTTCGTGTGTTGTAGGTAGGAAGATTGCTTTAAGGTATATGGTATATTTGTATGGTAATTAAGATTTATATTATGATATGACTAATGGTCTTCACCAGTTCAATCTATTAACTTCTACATAGATTGTTATTTGTTTGCTTTTGTTTACTGAGAATTGTAAACATACAGTACATATCCTGTTTTTTGTTACTAGAGTATTATCTTTCTGGTATGAATAGATACGTGACATTCAAATAACCAAATATTCTTACTAATTGAGCACTACGCGTTATCAGTAGAATACTGTTTCTTAAAACAGAAAATGGCACATAGCTTAAAGGGATTGTGAAGAGATTTTCTAAATTATATATGTATCTCTGGGAGTTGGATAGCTTCAATTTGCACCATTGCAGTTTTGTCAGATTTGTGCAATTTCACCAAAACTAAGTATTTGATGACGCCAACAAATAACAAAATATACTTGTATCACATAAGTTCCTTCGCGATAGGTGATGTCATCAAACACTTAGTTTTAGTGGAATTTGAGAAATCAGACATCTGATTGGAATTAAATGGTGCAAATTGATCCTATCAGTGTCCCCGACACACATAAAAAATGTAGAAAAGCTCTATACGATTCTTTTAAAACCTTAAATTATACCAAGCAAGTTCTCTTTGTGTTAATAGTTGTCCATCGAATTTTAATCAGTTTTGAATGACTTCGATTTTCTGTGCATAAATCAAATAAAAGAAAATAGAGATAAACTTCATGTTGTCATGAACATCGAAGTTTTGGACCAATTTGCAAGCAAACAAACAATTTTAAGTGAATCATTTTCGGTGATACATTGCAACACCCATAGAGTTAATTCTGCACGAAATTTTCACACTAAAAACACAAGAATCAGTGTCATACGTTTACATTTTCGGCCAACATCAATGTCACATTCTTCTTGTTAGTTGACACGATAATTTTGGTGGAATATAGTTTTATACAGAAATTTGAAAACTTTGTCTGTAATACTGATGTTTAAAAAGAATGTTTCAAATGTGTGAATTTTCACGAAAATTTCGATTGCACATAACTGCATAATGGTAGTTATCAAAATCTAAACCCGAGCCGAAGGACACCTGTAGCATGAGTCAAATTTGATTCCGAATTCCGAGAATATTTGTATGGAATGTTCCAAGTAGAAGGTCATAGGGTAATTATAAATCAACACGGGTTTACCAGCTAGTATGTTAGTGATCTGTTTGCCATCATTGTTCCCCTGG